GAGACACCTGCAGGGCCATCATCTCCCAGCTGAGACACCTGCAGGGCCATCATCTCCCAGCAGAGACACCTGCAGGGCTATCATCTCCCAGCAGAGACACCTGCAGGGCCATGCCAGCCCCCGGGCCACTGTGGTGGGAGAGGATGAGCCACAAAGTCGTGCTCACCTGAACCTTCTCATAGGGGACGTCATCGTAGACCACCCGAGAGGAGTCTGCTCGCTGATCCTGGGAGGAGCTGGCCCACCTGCAGAAGGAGGCGTGGGTCTTGCTCTCCAAAACATCATTGCCTGCCCCTCAGGGAACCCTTCCAGCTCAGAGAGATTCCTGCATCTCACAACTCCATCCTAACACACCCTTCATCAGCACTGATGAAACCCTTTCAGTTTCCCTTGCTGCCCTAGGGAACAACCCTGTCCCTGAGATCCCACCAACCACAGCCCAGCCTGTGCCCTTTCTAGGGACTCCACAGGGCCAAGGACCACCATGCCCAGCCCAGCCCCCAGCCCCTGGCACTGGAGGTGGCACACAGCCTTACAGGTAGGAGTGTCTCACGGCCGTCACGATGTTGGCAATGGTCTCCACATCCACATAGTCGTAGTGCAAGGCCTCTGGGGCTGTCTGGGAGCCTGTTTCCACCAAGAGGAGACCCAGCCAGCGGCCCAGGTCTTCAGAGCAGCTTGCCTGGAGGACACAGGAAGAGTTGGTGTGCACACCCAGCTCCCAGCCCCTCATCCTTGCTGCCTGCTGTGCACAATCCCCCTCTGTGCACCAAATCTCCATGCGGTTGCCCCAGCTCACCCAAGAGGTGCCCTGAGCTTTCCAGGGGACGACAAAACAAGGCACTGCTTACATGGGGGTGCTGATCACCCCAAGGGCTGCTCCCCCAGCCTGGCAATGCTGCCCTCAGCGCCCCCTGCTCACCTCGAGCGCCGTGACCTCGTGGCCGTGGCGCAGGATGCGGAAGGCGAAGGGGTGCTTGGGGCCCAGGCCGGGCAGCACCTCGCAGCCCCGCAGCACGATGGCGTTGACGTGGGTGCGCAGGTCCCAGCGGTCCTTGTGGAAGTACAGCGTGTTCCCCTTGAGGCGGCACCAGCGCTCCTTCCAGCACTGGTTCACCAGCACGCTCAGGTAGCCTGGGGGTGCCAGGGCAGGGAAGGGCATCAGCGCCTGCCCGGCTGTGCCTCAGGCAGGCTTTGACAGGACAGAGCTGACAGCATGGCTTCCTGCTCATCCAGCCCTTCTGGGCCTCAGTTTCCCCACACACAACCAGCTGGGCTCAGAGGAGATGCCAGCTTGGTACCACAAAGTCCCCTCAAGCCTGTTTTTTGGGGACATTGGTGACTCCTTGCCCACTCATCACTGGAATTTGCAGAGCCGGGCCTGGGCAGCATCTCCTCCCCCAGTGAGCCTGTCCCCACCCCAGAGCCCTGCAGCCATGCTGGGGGAAGGATGTCACTCTCCAGTGATCCCATCCACTGCCAGCCCCATCTCTGCCCCAGCTCTGCCCCCTGCAGCCATGCTGGGGGAAGGATGTCACTCCCCACTGATCCCATCCACTGCCAGCCCCATCTCTGCCCCCAGCCCACACGAACCGCAGCAGGGGATCTCCTCCTCGGTGGAGGAGGTCTGGGTGTCCTCAGGGCATGGCTTCTTCTTGGAGAAGCTGATGATCCTGGTGATTTTCTTCCCCGCTGCCCGGCTCATCGAGCCCTTCAGGTCAGCCAGGCCGCTCTTTTTGCCTTTCCCTGGAAGGACAGGGTGGCTGTGTGACCCTGGTGCGTGTCCTGCCATCCCCCCTGGCTGCAGAGGATGCTGCCCAGCTGGGGGCACACAGCTGGGTGGGCAATGGGGAGAGGAACTGTACCATGCTCGCCGTGCTCCCTGCGGCTGGCTGGGGACCCGGTGTCCCCCATGGCCACACTGTCTGAGTCTGAGGTGTGCTTCTCCTGGGACAGCCGCTGTGGGAGAGCAGAATCCCATCAGCACCACCCCAGCCCTTCATCCCCCTGCACAGGGCTGGCATTTCCAGCTCCTGCTCTCCTTCCCAGCCCTGCAGAGCTGCTGTGAGAATGGGAAAGGCTCCTTGTGCAGCCCCAGGAATTTGGGGTCCCCCAGCCTTGTGTTCCCCAGTTTTGTCCAGTGCCCCCCAGAAACCATCACCTTGTCCAGCTCCATCTTGCACGGCATCACTGGGGAGGTGGGGGCTTCCATCCCGCCTGCTGCTGGGCTGCTGGCTTCCTTTATCACCTGCACAGACAGCCCCAGCTGTCACCTCAAAATGGCCCAAGGGCCAGGGCTGCCCTCCTGGCTCAGCTCCTTCACTACCAGAGCCAGGCTGAGCCAGGGGGACACGTCCTGGCCCCCACAGCTCAGGGCAGCACACCCACATCGGGACTGCTCACACCTTGGCCCCTTCAAAACTTCAACCAGTTCTGTGGATTTTGTCAGGGAGTTTGGAAATCTCACAACGGACAGACTTAGGTGCCAAGCATCACCCTGCCAGCACAGGACACCTTGTGACCCCTGTTTTAAGGCGTGGTGTGCCCTGGGTGTGTAAAACCCCCATTCTCCCACATTTGGGGTGACAGCTGTGTCAGAGCTGTGCTCAGAGGCTCCTTTCCCACCCGCCACCCCTTCCCTGCAGCCCCCACTTCCCGGCCCCGAACAAAGGCAGGAAAGGGCCCTGGGGAAGAGGAAGGGGAGAGCAAACATCCCCCAGCCGGGGCTATCAGCGCCGGAGCCGCCCAGCCCTGGGAAGCGGCCGATAAGGGACAGGAGCAAAACCCCCTTCCCTTCCAGCAGGGCAAAGCCCCCTCCCCAGCCCGGGCAGGGAGGATGCCAAGGGGGCTCTGTGGATGCCCCTGGTACCTTGAGCCACTCCTCAGCCTGCTCCTTGCTCTGCACTGCCAGCACCAGCGCCTCGGCGCCCGGCAGCGAGAACCGCAGCTCGTGCTTCTTGCGCCGCCCGTCCTTGGGGACGTAAATGACGTTGCAGGTGGGCAGGGGCACCTCCACGTGTGGCTGCCGGTCCTTGGAGCTTTTGTAGCACTGAGGGAAGCAGAGAGAACTGCTCAGGGCTCAGCCAAGCCTGCCTGGCTGGCTGCTGTGCTGGGGGGTCCCACAGGTGGGAAGGGCTCTCAGGGTCCCTCGCTGGTGGCACAGATGGAGATGGCTCTTCTGAGGGTGCCCTCTCACTCCATGGTGTCCCAAAAACAGGGGAGCCCTCTGTTCCCTTGCAAGGTAAGCAAGGGCAGCTGCTGCTTGGGGTAGGGCTTTGTTTGAATGGTGCTGTTTTTCCTTCAGCTTGGGCTCAGCCACCCTCCCGCCCTCCCAGGTGGAGTCTGTGCCCCTCAGGGCAGGCTCACCAGCAGTTTGCCATCCCGGATGATGGTGAGCTGCTTGGCCCACTGCCCAAAGCGCTTCTTGCGCAAGAGGAAGGCGCAGATCCGGCAATCCTTCACCAGGTTCATGGAGGCCTCCTCCGAGGGCCACTGGTGTGTCAGCTGCTGGCCCTTGCCCTCCTCCTCCTCCTCGTCATAGGACTCGTAGGAGCTGCTCATGGCATCCGAGTCATTGTCTGCAAGGAAGTGGGAGAGTCACCCTAAAAGGTGCCACACGCCCGTGCCCAGCAGCTCCAGACAGAGCTGGGTGCCAGGAAAGGTGGATTCCCTGGCATCCTCTGCAAACAGCAGCGCTGGGCACCAGCAACCTCAACTTCCCCTGGAATCCCAGCAGGATGCTCGTGGGCCGAGTGCCAGCCCCAGGTGCCTCTATCCAGAGCCCTGGGCTGGTTTGTTTCTTTGCAAGGCTCACACTTTGAAACCTTGGCTCTCCAGCCTCAACCCCAGCAGCCCCCAGCCCCCAGCTCAAGCCCCAAACCTTGCCAAGCTCCCCCCTCCCTGCTGAGGACACCCAGGTACCTACAGGAACTCTTCTGCTCCCCGTTTATCCTGGTGACGGGGTAGCTGCTGTCTGCATCCTCGTAATAGCCGTCCTCGATGGAGTTGGGGGGGCTGGAGCTGTCTGCAGGGGAAGCACAGGGGCTGGGGCTGGTACACCCTGCTTTCCCTCATGGGGCACAGCCAAGCACGCCTTCCCAGGGCATCCCATGGCTCTGATCCCTCCCATCTCCTCATTCCCAGTCTGCCTGGAGCAAACAACTCCTTGCAGCACCAAGTGGGATGGGAGGGAGTGGGACAGGAGCGCTGCTGGTGGGAGCAGTGACCATTCCTTCCCAGAAATATTTATTTCTGAGAGGTGCTGCTGAAAAGGTCAAAGCAAGACCCTGATTTTGGTGGGTGGTGGGGGTGGCTGTGATGACACATGGAAGATTTGTCCTTCCCTGGCATCTCCTGGGATGCAATCCCAGCTCAGTGCAGCTGTAATTCTCCCCTGGCAGGGTGGGGAGGCCCTGGAATGGATTTCCCAGAGAAGCTGTGGTTGCCCTTGGTTCCTTGGAGGGTTCCAGGGCCGGCTTGGTTGGGGTTTGGGGCACCTTGGGCCGTTGGAGGTTTTCGGGTTTGGACTTGGTTGTTTTTTAGGTTCCCTTCCAACCCAAACCATTCCATAATTCTATGAGCCTGTGATCTCAGTGAGAGCAATCATTTGGAATCCAGGCATCCAATGGATTGTATTTGCAGGGATGCCCTGACAAAGGCAGGAATGATGCATCTGATAAGCCACAGAGAGCTGCCTGGGGCGTCAGGCAGGTGAGGGATGCATGGGCAGCCCCTGGGGCTCCCCCAAGCCCGCTGCTGGCCTGGCTGGAGCAGGACTCACTGCGGGACGTGATGTACTCGGGGGCCTTGNATGCCCTGACAAAGGCAGGAATGATGCATCTGATAAGCCACAGAGAGCTGCCTGGGGCGTCAGGCAGGTGAGGGATGCATGGGCAGCCCCTGGGGCTCCCCCCAGCCCGCTGCTGGCCTGGCTGGAGCAGGACTCACTGCGGGACGTGATGTACTCGGGGGCCTTGCCGGGGCCCAGGGGCAGAGCTTCCTCGTAGTAATCCTCAGGAGGGGGAGTGGTGGGCAGAGGAGGAGCAGCATCCACAGGAACCTGGGGCAGAAACACATCCAGCTTTAACCAAAGCAGCAGCACACAGGAGCCCCAGCAGGGCACAGGAAGGGTCCCATTGTCACCTCCCCACGCAGAGCTGGCTCGGGGACAGCCAGGCACTCACAGGTTTGGCTGTCGGGGCCCCTGCCAGCTCCGAGCCAGCAGTGTCATTGGTGTCCCCCTCCTCCTCCTCCTGCATGTCCTGCAGGTCCCGCAGGTCACAGTCTGCACGGAGCAAACAGAGGGTGAGGGGAGCAGGAGAGCAGAGCTGGGCATCCCAGCTGTGCCCTGCAGGGATCTCTCCCCATGGCCCTGCCCTGGGGAGGTGCTGGGAGATGGGAATCACTGCTAAACACAGCATGGCAGTGCAAAACAACAACTCAATAAACGATTTAGTGCAGTACAACAGGTTCCCTCACGGCCAGGCCCCACTCAGCTCCAAGGCAGCAGGAACAAGCACCCAGAGCAATGATGTCCATGGTGGACACAAGGATGGAGCTGTCACCCTCCTTCCAAAGGACCCCAGGACCAGCACGACCCCCAGGGCACACGTACCGAACTCCTCAAACAGGGACTCCACGAAGCTGGTGCCATTGCCCAGGGACGCTGTGTTGACGTACATGTAGCCCACATCCTTCCCTGGAATTGAGGGGAACACTCTGAGCCTGGGGCAGGCACTGCCACCCCTTGTGCCCACAACCCCAGGGACACAGAGCAGGGATGGAGGAGCCCCCAGGGCTGCTGTGGCTGTCCCAGGAGGGCAGAACAGGGGCTCTGTGAAGGCCCAGGTGCTCAGGGCTGGAGGAAACCCCCGTGCTCAGCACAAACCGGGCAGGAAGGGCTCTGGAAGCTGCGTTTCCTCCCTCCTGCCCCCGGGGCACTGCTGACGCCAGCCCTGCTCCGGGAGGGGTTCAGAAGGGAAAGCAAAGTGCCCTGAGGGGGCTGAGCAGGTGCTGGGCTCATCCCTGCCCTGCTGGGGACACCCGGTGCCTTTGGGAACAGAGAGGGACACGGACCTGCAGGCGGCTGCAGCTTCTGCACGATGGTGGACACAGCCAGCTTCTTCTCCTGCGTGGTGGCACTCAGGTACTCGTGGTCCAGCAGCTTGAGCAGAACGCTGAGCTCTGGCAGGAGCTGGTCCAGCACTGAGGGGAGCAGGAAAAATCCCATCAGCCAGGGGGTGTTGGGATAATGGGGTTAAACAAGGCAAAATGGGCTGGAGCTCTGGATGGGGCAGAAAGAAAGAGCTGCAGTGCAGGATCCTCCTCTTGGCAGGCACCAAACACCCTCTGAGCACAGCTGGGGTGGCACACAGCTGGCTCTGGGTCTCCAGGGACAGCAACACAGGCCAAGGGTCACCCTGGAGGCAGCTCAGACGTGCTGACTGATGGGGATGGCACCAAGGAGGGGACAGTGTGTGCCCCACACCCTGGCTGGGCTGTGGCCGTGCCCACACTGCTCCTGGGCACAGCAGGGCAGCAGCAAGGGCTGGCACAGGGGATCTCCCAGAGGAAGGGAAGGATCCTGAGGCACTGAGGGGATCCTCTTTCCTTATGTAAGGAACATGGAGCCAAAAGCAGCATAACAAAAGCAGCACAATAAAAGCAGCACAATAAAAGCAGCTGGTGTTTGAGGGTGAAGGGGAGCCCAGCAGGAGCAGTGCCAGCCAAGATGAGCCCCTGGGCACAGGGACAACGTGCCAGCCCAAATTGCCACTGTTCCAGGATATAGGGCAGGATGTGGCTCACGGGGCTCTTCCTGCCTCCCTGCACTGCACAGAGCTCCTGCTTCCTCCTCTTCCCTGCCCAGTGCCAAGCTGAGCCCAGCCTCAGCCCTTCTGGCCGTAGCACCGGGCAGTGCCCATCTCCCACGGGCAGCCAAGCCAGGACAGGCAGCCCCAGCAGCAGGAGCAGCCTCAGCACTGCTCCAGCAGAACAGCCAAGCACCCCTCAGACCCTGGGGAAGGAGAAGGCAAGCACAGGGAATGGATTCCTGCTCCTGGAGCTGCAGTGCCACCCCAGAGCCAACACACGGGGCAGGTCCTGGCCATGCTCAGCTCGCACACACCTGCCATGGTGGCACTGCTGAGCCTCGTGGGTGGGGAGAGCACCAGCCCCAGGGCCCCTCTGCCTTACAGGGAGGGAGGGAAGAGAGGGAAATGCTCCCTGGGCTGTGCCAGAGTGCACAGGCAGGACAGGATCGGGCTGCTGCTGCTGCTGCTGATCTCCAGCAAGGTGAGACATCCTCCCTGCAGGGCTGGGCAGGCCAGGGGACTGCAAGGAAGCAGCTGGGACCAAAAGCCAGATTTCCCTTGTCCAGCCAGCAGCTGCAAACATCCGGGGAGTCATCTGGGGAGTGTAGGGAGTCATCTAGCTCCCACAAGGGGGACAGGGACTGTGCAGGCTCCTCCCTGCATGGGCTTTCCATAGCTCACCAAACCCCAGGCTGTGGGGTCAGCAGCATCCTCCCACTCTCAGAACACCCCAAACCCCAGGCCATGGTGTCATCAGCATCCTCTACACTCAGAACACCCCAAACCCCGGGCCATGGTGTCATCAGCATCCTCCACACTCAGGACACCCCAAACCCCCGGCCATGGGGTCAGCAGCATCCTCCACACTCAGGACACCCCAAACCCCAGGCCATGGTGTCACCAGCATCCTCCACACTCAGGACACCCCAAACCCCAGGCTGTGGGGTCAGCAGCATCCTCCACACTCAGGACACCCCAAACCCCAGGCTGTGGGGTCAGCAGCATCCCCCCCACTCCCAGCCCATGGGGTCAGCAGCATCCCTCCACTCCCAGGACACCCCAAAGCCCAGCCCATACTGTCACCAGCATCTTCCCCACTCTCAGGACACCCCAAACCCCAGGCCATGGTATCACCAGCACCCTCATCCTGTGCCATGTGCAGGACACCTCCCACCACAGGCACCAGCTCGGTGCCAGGGCTCTGGACCAGCCAGGGCCCAAAGGACAGCCTGGTTTCTATGGGCAGAGCCCCAGCAGGCAGGGAGGGGGCACGGGGACCCCCCTGGGGTGCCCGATGTGCCAGGGCTGCTGGCAGGGCTGGGATCAGCAGCAGTGCCCCGAGCTGGGCACACTCAGCACGGACACACGGCTCTGAAGGCGCCTTTGTTCCCCCAGCTGAGCTGTCCCCTCCGTCTCCCTTGTTAAACATCCTCCAAAATACAACGGGGGAGGGAGGGAGGGCAGTGAAAGGGGCCTGTGATCCCAGGAGGGCACGCTGAGCACAGCCTGGGGCAGCACAGCGAGGCAAGGACTCATTTCCTATGCTCGTTAGGCTGCCAGGCTGAAGGAAATTAACTGGGGGGCTGCAGGAAGTGAGGGGAGATTGCTGCAGGGGATGGGGTACACACAAGGGCACCTGGCAGGCAGGGACCAGCACAGACACCTCTGCAAGAGCTGGTGGGAATGAGCACAGAGCCCCAGGGCTGGCCCAGGGGACAGGGACACATCCCCTGGTGCCACCACTGGGGGCTCTGAGCCCGGGCACTGGGACAGCAGGACAGCAAAGGGCTCTGGGGAGGAGGGCTGGGCTCTCACAGTGACCACAGGTGACACAGACCCTGTGTCCCTGCTCTGGACACCTCCAGATGGTGTTGGCAAATGGCTCCCACCTGCTGCTTTCTGCATCCAAGACCTGTGGGATCACCATTCAGGCTTGGAACAGCCAGCCCAGGACAGGCAGGGACACCAGCAACGTCCTCCTCTCCACGTCTGAGGCACAGTGGGAGATGTCCCTGAGCTCCCTGGGCCTGGGAAGGCCAGGACCCTGGGCAGCAGATGGCTTCAGCATTAACCAACAGGCCTGGAGGGGCTGGGCCACCCAGGGTGGCCCAGGGGACAGCAGCAGGACATGGTGCCATGCAGTAAATGGGGACAGTGCTGCCACATCCTGCCCTGGCAGCAGCAGCAGGCATGGAGCTGCAAGGGAGCTGCATCCCCTGCAGCCCCCCTGTCCCCCACACCAGCCCAGCTCTATTTTTAGAGCCCACAAGTGCTCAGGGAGCCTCTTCCCAGCACACAGATAAGGGCTGGACACGGGCTGCAGCTGCACAGCCTCGCTGGCTCTGCCCCAGCACAGCAGCACAAACCCCATCCTGCTCCAGCAGCCCGCAGAGAGGAGGAAGAGGAGGAGGAGGAGGAGGAGGAGGAGGAAGAGTCTCTGGCCAAGCCAAGGCAGGAGTTTCCTGGTGTAGAGAGACCCAGCTTTTGCAAGGGGAGAGATAAGACAAGCCCATGGAGGTCTCACCCCAAGAAAAGCTCAGCCTGGAGCTTGAGAGAGCCCCGGGGAGGGGAGAGGCTGAATCAGAGCCCTGAAATGCGGTGGGAGGTGCTCAGAGACCCCCATCCTGTGTTCACAGCCCTGAAATGCGGTGGGAGCTACTCAGGGACCCCCATCCTGTGTTCCCCTGTCCCCTGGGGAGGGGAGGTGCAGAATCACAGCCCTGAAATGCAGTGGGAGGTGTTCAGGGACCCCCATCCTGTGTTCACAGCTCTGAGATGTGGTGGGAGCTGCTCAGGGACCCCAATCTCATGTTCATAGCTCCCTGGGGAGGGGAGAGGCTGAATCACAGCCCTGAAATGCAGTGGGAGGTGCTCAGGGACCCCCATCCTGTGTTCACAGCTCTGAAATGTGGTGGGAGCTGCTCAGGGACCCCCATCCTGTGTCACAGCTCCCCTGCCTCCGGCCACGCTTCCTCCCGCGCCAGGTGATGCCTGGGGCCGGGGGAAATCGGATGCTGGGAGTAACAGCCATTGTTTGTAGCTAAAATAAAACCCAGGCACAAATAAATCCTTCCTGTGGGCAGGGCAGGGCCCTTGGCTGTTGTGCCTGCCAGCTCAGGGCTCCTCACTGCTGCCAGCCCAGCAAAAATCAACCTGGAGAGCTCCTGGGTGCCCTAAACAGGAGGGGACAGCACCAGGGACACCCCAGCACCAGGGAGATGCCTGTGGGACCAACAGCCCCAGGGCTCTCTCTGCAGCACACCAGCCCTGCTCACCTGGGCACAGGGGGATGTGCAGCCACCTGCAGGAGCCCTGCAGTGCTGGGACGTGTGCCCAAGCCTGGCTGGGTGCCCCAGGATGGCATCACCAGAGGGGTGAGATGCTGGCAGCCCCTGCAGCCCCAGCACTGCTGCTCTCTGAGGAAGCCCATGGGCATTTTGCTGAGCTCCCAGGGCAAGTCCTGTTCCCATCCCCATCCCAAGGAGGTTTCTTCCCACCAGGGATGAGGAAGTGCCTCTTGGTGCTCCCAGAATTGTTCCTTTGTGCAGGGGACAGCAGGACAGAGCTGCCTGCACCCAAGGGGCAGGAGAGGGGCAGCACAAGGCCCTGGAGGGGCAGGAGCCAGCCAGGCTGTGCTGCCATCACCCAGCACCTGCTGGTGTGGGGCAAACTGGGATGGGCTGGGAGGGCCAGCAACAGCAGCCTGGAAAACACATCATCCTCATCCTCCTCCTCCTCCTGTCCTGCTCCAGGCCCCGGGGGTTTCAGGAAGAGCCAACCATCAATGCTCACTCTTGAGCCCGGGCAGCATCCCCTGAGAGTGGAAGATTTGCTGAGGGGGTGCACATGAATCATCTCCTCCCTGCAAACAAGGGCCCCTTGAGTGGGGAGGACGGGGCAGCTCTGCCTCTGCACCCAGCAATTCCAGCAGCCCTGAGCACCCAGGGCTGGCTCCTGGCACCCACCCAGCTGCCCCTCACTGGGGTAAATCCAGGCTCTCACTCCCACTCTGGGGGCTGCAGCAGCCCTGGGTGCTGGGGAGCACGAGGCAAGCTCAGATCTCCAATCTCAGCCCTTCCAGCACGCAGGCAGAGCAGCCATGCACAGCCCTGGGGCCCTCACCATGGCCTGGCAGTAATTAATATCCTCATTTGATAGCCTTGGAAAATCAATGCTGGGAGGTGAATGTGGAACCTGACTGCTTGAGGGGGCACAAAGCCCCCAGCTCTGCCCCCAGAGCAGCAGCTCTGAAATAAAGAATTAGCTCTGAAATAAAGAAATGCTTTAGTTTGCAGCTAAAGGCTATTCCTCATTTCTACTATTTACTTACACATATACTGAAAAACAGACAATCAAAAAGCCATCTTTTTTTCTGAAACTCTGGAACAGAGT